AAAATATGCGTTCATTGTATCTTTAACAGGGCGACTGGAACGAAGTGCATATTAGACATCAAAATTACCGGACAGAAAACGCCTATACCAAATTTGTGCCAGTCTCACAGAACCTGCACTAGGTCCACAAAAATTACCAATTAAACTGCATTTGTACCTTCTAGATAGATGAAACGAAAACATACCAAAAATACTTAAACATTTTTTAGAACACAATTTGTGTTATTTGAACGCGAGAAGGACGTTACAAATGGGACTATAAATACCGAAGATATGCGGTAACATACAATGCGGTAACATACATAAAAAAATACGGTTGAATTGAGAACCTCCACCTTTTTTTGAAGTTGATTAAAAATTAAATTACTTCCCGAACAACATATTATTTTAGCATTTCGGTGCTTCTTGTTTGATGCATGTGCCCCAGTAGTAGGGATATTAATGGGTTGATGATTATGTATTATAAATATATAAGTATTATGTCTTACATATGAAATTGGCGTTTTGTCAGCAATTGCAAACCATGCTGGAAACAATTGCTGTTAAACAATCGAGGCTGGTCTATCGCTCTACGCCACTGCTACTTCACGACAACGCTAGACCACACACGCACAACAGACGGCTAACAAATTAGGAGAGCTTCAATTGGAATGTCTTAGACATCCACCGTACTCCCCGGACCTTGCTCCAACAGAATACCATTTTTTTCGAAATTTGGATAACTTGCAAGGGAGAAAATTCAACTCCGATGGGGCAGTGCAAATCGCCTTCAAAGATTTTATTGATTCCCGTCCGAATGGTTTTTTTAATAAGGGGATCAATGAACTACCTATGAGATGGCAAAAGTGCATAGATAACAATGGTTTATACTTTGATTAAATAAATATATTATATTAAAAAATATTCGACTTTTTGTTCCTCCCATACCAAACACCAATTTCATATGTAAGTACCCAATATTAACGACAATTTAAGTTTCAGTAATTATCGACGTCCATCAGTTATGAAACGTTATAATATTGTTTATATTTTATCAAAGTGTATAATCTTTCAAGAGACGATGATCATGTTTGATATTACTTCTTCTTTGTTCTTGTTTTTAATTAGAAAAATACCTTGCAAAGTCTACTAAAAAGTTTAACAACCGCACAGGATTCTAATTCATTAAAAGTTTCGCTTGACGAATTTCTTATCAAAACAACATCGAAAAATATTTTATTAACTGATAATATTATTTTTAGAGTGAATCTATTTTTTCTTTGAAATATTTATCATGTCCAAATTGGAAAACACAATTAGAAATGTATTTCACAACAATTATATATAATAAAAGCTTTATAACTTCCAAACGACTGCACCAAATTTAATGATTCTTTTTTTTATGTATAGTTATACATTGTCAGGAAAATGTTAGTATATAAAAATTATATGATTTATAAAAAACGGGTATATGAAGTGGAGGTGGTATGAAGTTCGCCGGGTCTAGTCTAGCTAGTCTTAACTAAACTATACGAAAATTAATTGTAATAACACTTCCAAAACATTAAAGTTTTCTAACCTATCAGAACCGAAAGACGTGAACGAAACGAACGTGTTTCACACCATGCAAATGAATAGAGAAGTCTTTGCAGGTAACAATTCTGATGATTCTGCTCGTATGTGCGAGCGACGGTTTATATCTTTTGATATACAAGAATTTACGCATTGATCAGAAATATTGTGATCGATTCTGACAGATGTCGTTTACCAATAGGCGGAATGGATCAAAGGAATGGACTAAAGTTTATAAAAAACTCTTTGGATATGTCAGAAAAAATCGTCCAAGGAATTCCACGATCAAGTTGATGATGAATGAAACCTTTGTGCCAGGTAGGATTAAAAATACACCAATATATCTAAATATACAAAAATATATCTAAATATCAGATATATGAGGTAGTTTTACGTATATACTCTTTGCTTGACACAGTAATATAGTATTTTTAATTCTACCTGGCACATACTACTACTCTCATTTTTTTCATATCAACATCAGATGCTCATTTTTTATGTATTTTGACGACGTTCTACGACTATTTTGAAGAATGATGGACTTTCTAAATTGCGTTGGCAAATAATTTTTCTGTGGTAAAAGAACCTTGTACCTAAGCAGTTGCTGATGATATTATTTTTTCAAGTATGTACTTATTTAAAAATACCTTTGCGTTTGGCTGTAGCGCTTATTTAATTTGAGGTCAAAGTAATAAGTAACTTCAAAGCAGCGTATCCTAGTGTCCATCAAAATAAGGAAAACATTTATTTAATTAATAAAAATTTGAAGAATGCCAGTAATCATAACAAATTGAACAGTGAAGGTTCTTTCCAAACTCGAAAATATGAATGTTTTTTATATATGTATTGTTTTATCGTGTTTTTGCGATTTTTAGTCTTTTTATTAAACTTTTTTTAATAAAAAGATTTATTAATTAAACTTTATAGTTAATCTTAAATAGAACCTATAAAGTTTAATTTTATCAGACCTTAAAATCTAAAAAGAGGTTATTATATATTTAACGGTTGTATATTTTTATTGTATGTTTACCGATTTCTTCGTGAATCGAAGATCGATTTTCAAAATGTATATCATTGGAAACCTTATGGTTTGTTTGTCTGTTTTTATAATAAAAATATCTGTTTTCCAGCGACTTCACCCGCGAAAATTTATAGACTACCTTCCCATAGGTGAAAGTAAACCAAACAAATAACCGAATCAATCCACTTTATGATATTGGAAGCGTTCTTTACATTGTCGAACAAATCAAAAGATCGCGCATATTGATTTCCATTGTTTTTGTTGTTGTTAAACGAATGGCCAATGAACATAAAACGTATATTCAATAACAAATATATTCAAACTCATCCTTAAACCTACAAGGACTATTCGAAACCAATTCGTTACTATGGGCTTCGATTGGTTCTCAAAAGTATAGCATGTACGCTCGACGTTTGTGGCCGTTCATTTATTCAATTTGTACTCAACATTTAATGTCCCCACTGTTGGGGCTCAGATCTTTCCAATGGATGGAAACGAAACAAACAACAACCCATTGCGGATTGGTGGATGATAACGACTGCAGTTCCAATCCTACGTGATAACGTGCCTTTCTAAGCACGGAGAAGCTCGAGATAATATTTTTTTGTTCAACCATATTATGACCGATAATTGCGAAAGTAGGTTAATAACATATCGCAGATCGAGCGCGCTAAACACTGCGCCATCGAGCTCGTCAACATTAAGTTTGCATATTTTTTTATATATCACATAAAATATAAATTTAAAATTACTTGGAAATAAATAACTTAAGAATGAATACAAAATTTCCGCCCAAGTTCAATAGAATTTTCATGAATATGTAATCGAATCAGCTGAACGGAATTTCAAAATACAGACAAACAATCTCAACATTTATCAATAGAAATCTTATGTAGCATTAACGTCAAATTATTCTGTTGGAATTTTACACCTAGGGAGCCAATTCTACTAAATAAATTTTATTTAAATCGAACCGAAAACGGATCGAAACCGAACGAAACTACAGTTTTTAATTGTTTATAATATTATATATGTAAAAATGGAAAACCATTAAAAACAAAATTTATTTAGTAGAATTGGCCCCCTGCTCTCGGAGATAACAAAATGAAACTTTCAGAGTTATATGATGTAATAAAATAAAATGTAACCAAGTATTTTTGAACAACGTTATTTTATGTAATAACTCACTATGATATGAAGAAAACATATCAAGGGCTTTATTTTTACATCAACTGTATCTATCTTTTAACTTTAATTAAAGTCATTTATAAATGGAGCCGAAATCTCTGGAAAGCATCAATATGATTAATTTACGAGTACTTTTTATTTGTCGTTGTCGCTGAGCAACGAGTTTGACTTCTTTATAAGATGAGGGATGGAATGAAGGACGTTTTTTTAATGAAAAGCGTGGGTCGTGAAACACGTATTCATAATATGAGTTACAACTGTGATAGGTTTATCTCTAGGGAGTAGATATTTGTGAAAAGGTCAAAAAGAAACTGTGTATTAAATGCAGAGTTATATTAATAAAGTCAATTAAAGGAATTTATTTGAATCTGTACGATGCCCACTTAGTTGACCACACCACCATATAGTATATGTTTGTAGCTTATTGTAGATGCTTTAGTTTATTGAAATAAAGACACAAGAAAAGAGTTTCGTTGTTAAAAGTAAAGGGTTATTACGTTAGTTACGGTCAGTTGCACAAACGTCCATTAGGGTTTAATGACGGCTTTAAGCTCTAATGAATGAAAATGTTGTATGGGTAATGTCGCTTTAAACTAATGAAATTTTAATGGTCGTTTATGCAACTGGCTGTTACACTATTAAAGTTAAAGGTAGCCCGGTGGCGTGGTGGATAAACGTCGCTGCCCACGACCGTTAAGCAACTTTCGCAAATGTCGATCACGGGATGGGTGACCAAAAAATTATTATCTCGAGCTACTCCGAGCTTCGGAAGAGTCTTTCTATCAGTATGTCTATTTGTGTATCACAAGACTGTATCTTTTGAACCGCAACAGGTGAGAAAGTGCCGTAAAGGCTCCCTTTACGACAAATAATAAAAATATAATATGTTAATATTGTGATATGGCTTACATCCTTCGTGTGTGACTTCTTATTAAGAGTTAGGTGATGTTTTTTGTATTAGAGGAATATTTTTGAATGTATATTAATTCATCGAGAAAAAATTATAATACATTCATTTAATAATAACCGTGTTCTTGCCGGAAAATTTTTTTTTCGAACTCATATACAGATAAAAAAAAATTAAATAACGAAAAGCGAATAATAAGAAATATTTTTTTATAAAGATTAGTAACAAAAAGGTTGGAAGCGGAAACCTAGGACAAAATAAACGGTGTAGTACGACGCTTTATTAAACGGTTATTAAAATACTCTTACTCCTATTAAAAATAAATTTACTCACATTTTGCCCAACATCCATCGGCGCTAGAAGCGGCGCGTTCCGCTTCCTCGGCTTCCTCCACAGCAGCAGAAGCGCTGCAATAAGCAGCACCGACCCAGCGCCCGCCATAGCTCCCCACGCCGCGCTCCAAGCGTTACTGTGATCATCGCTAGATAACCTCGCCTGTGGACGGATGTATCCAGCATCCGCCATCTGAACTCCAGGACGTACTATCCCTGCATCATTCCCGGGCCTATTATTTTCGTTTTCATTATCTTCGTTATCGTACTCCCAATACCTCCCGCTGGGCGCACTCGGGCCGGCCCGCTGCTTATCTGGAGATAACAAAATTACCAACGTAGTACAATATAACATCGATCGGGTTCGATATAGAATGTTCGATATTGACAGAAACATTGACTTATACGCACTAGTTAACAAAGAAATTATTACAAGCAATAAATAAAGTCTCATTAACTTATTAAGTGGTACATTTTATAAGTTCATGGCATTTCTATTTCTTTATTTAATGAGATTTTTATTGTTTATTTAATAAAAAACGATTTTTATGTTATGACAACATTACTTTAATTGTTTTAAATGAAGTTTTTTTTTTTAATAACGCTTTTTTATATAAAATAAAGAAACAAAAAGTTTATTGCATATAAGTATCAATGTTCATGACTTTCGACATTTTAATCAAATTTTAACACGAACAGCACCATTTCATTAAGCATATTGCCTAGAAGACCGTGCGTCACCATTAAAAATCACTGACGCAAACTGTGAACTTTCACATTCCATCAAAACTTGTTGGAAACAAAAGAGAAACACTCCCATAAATTCGAGAAGAGAAAAAATATTGTCGATATTATTGCCTACTTTTTATGGGTTCCAAAAGAAGGTTCTTAGTGAAACATATGGCACGAAAAGTGTTGACAAGACTTACCCATGTATGGTATGATTTGTTTGTTGTTCGGTTCGCGCGACACGTGCGCTGGGCGGGCGGGAGCGCGCGACTGGGCGGCGTCGGCGTCTTATCATTATGGCATTTGTTTACCCGACTGGCGCGATCTGTGTCGCGATTAGGGATACCATAAGCTATGAAACTTAGCGGGAAACACGAAAAAAATGTCATGTCGTTATTACACCCTTCAATATTATTTAAAGATAAGAACATTTCTCTGTATCACTACCATTTGCCAATATAGGATGACTTGAAAGCGCTCGAGATGATCAAGAAATGGCTGCAGAGTGAGATTTGCCCATACAGTATCATATTCTCGGTCAAGCTCTCGCATGTTGAATTCTATTATATGCTACGCCTCCTTTTGTATTGATGTTTTTTCTTTCTTTGTTATGTGCACTATATTTATCTAAAAGATTATGTTTTTATTTATATATGTAAAAATGAATCCTTATTTCTTTTGGTCACGCCCTCAGACCAAATAAAAAGTATAGACGGAGTTTTGCCTAATAGAAAAGTGAAGCCGACAAAACTACGCCTCGGCGTATTCGTACACAGTTTCACGCACACATACATAACGAAACTACGCCTTCCTTATCAGTCTAACTAAAGACAGTGTGCGGAACGTTTCATTATAAAAAAAAAAATCAAAAATTTCTTACTAACTGCCGAACTGTGTAGTAAAAGGTTTTAAAAACCAATCCTCAAAAAATAAAAAGCAGGATGGGATCACATTCCACACATAAGTATTGGAGAAAACTTACATTTTCAGTTATTTAAAAATTAAATTTATCTAATTGCTCGGAACACAAAACCTCAGCCAAATATTACCATCGTTAAACGTTATTATTTACCCCGAAATCAGGTAACTTTAATTTTATAACGCGTTATTTCTAACAAAACACAAATTACGTTATGTATTTTTTTCTTGTTGTATGGAAATGATATTTAATAAATTTTGCATTCAAAATGCTACATAGAGGTCCAGATCACAGATATTGAAGTGTTAGAATAAGGAAGTAAAATATAAAAAACGGGTTTATTTTTTACTTCTTTATTTTTACTAAACGGGTTTGCATACAATTTTTCATTTCCAAACCGACATCAAAATGTGAAAGAGAAATGGATTTCATTCGTAATAGTCGAAATGAACCTTCATGGAATCCAACTTCGCGTAAGGTAGTTTGTTCGACTTATTTTAAGAGCGATGATATGTATTATACTATAAAAGGGTTACGTCGAATAAAGCAAAATTCATATCCAAAGGTTTCAAACTTTCTATATATTAAAATTTTAGTTAACAAAGTGGAAGTTTTCAAACTTAACTTAAAAATTAATTAAATAGTTTCTCTAATGTATGGCCTCCAATAATAATTACCTACTCTTAAAGATTTTAGAATATCTATGCTGATATTGACAAACGAATTTACATTATATTATTAAATAGCATAGCGTTAACGTTAACTCTATAACGTCGTAACGTTAAGTTATTGGGGTGTTTTTAATGACTATGGTCACACAGGCACGCACACTACAATTGCTAAAAATCGGCTTCACTTTGTTATTCAGCGAACTCCGTCTTTACTTTTTATTTGGTCTGAGGTCACGCGATCACGTGATCGGCTGGACCGATTTCGCTAATACGTTTTTGTTGTTTGTTATTGTCAGAAGAAGGTTCTTATGAAAAAAATAAGAAAAATATGAAAATTTAAAAATATTTAATCACCATATAAAATTTGTTTCAAATCTAACCTAACCTAAAACTTTGAATAATATAAACTTTGAACATATCATTAACAAAATGCGTGCTGCAAAATTTCATAATTAAGACGAAAATCGTTTGTCAGGTCGTTCATAGCTAGTTCAATATAAAAATTGAAAACGGAATTAGTAAAAGAGATGTCCCAAAATGAGCCCAACAGCACAAAAATCTTAAAATGTCTCGAAAAATTTAATGGTTTCACCAAGAATGGAATCCATGCATAGCACATAACAAAGTCGATTTCTCCTGTTTCCAAGCTGAGAGCTTTTATGCGGTTTTCATCAATATACATAAGAGTGATTCAAGAAGAAAGTTCATTTGTATAATACAGGACCACACAGGCGAAGCCGCCGAAGGAAATATTATATTTAATTTGTGTAGGTCTGCATTCTTTTTGCAATATTTTCTATTTACTCAATGCATAAAAAAGGAGTTCTTACCCTTTCTGGATGACAAAAAATTATTTGTTTCTTGGATTATTAGGCAATGATGGTAATTTTTAAAATAATGAATTATACCTTTCTGTTAGGTTTTTTGGGCAACGTAATGTCAAATTTACGAATGAATGACGATATAGGTGTCCCTAGTCCGTGCGTTATCATGGTCATCATCATACCGTGTTGCGTGTACTACTTTGAGCGGTTGGTGTAAGTGAATGCTGGAATCTTGTTGCCCGCTCGGAGGCCTACGCGATTTTATTGCTAATCATCGTTATTACGTTTCCTTTAGTTCATTACCAAAAGGGCGGAAAAGAAAATTGTGTGGGTGTGTCCATCCCTTTTACTTATATGGACCCGAATGGTTTGATTAAAAATTCTTCTATAAGTAATATTTAGGTGTTTTAATTCATAGAGGTCGGTATCCTATAATATTGGGGTTCGGACCGGAGCCCTACTTCCTCCTTTCGAATCCTTCCTCCCCAACGAGAAGGTAACTCCGGAGTGGGTGTTATAAGGTAGACCAACCACACTTTGACGTCGCGCCACATTCTTTTGGTTGGAGAGATTCGTTTTGAAGCATAAGCCTGCATATTTTATTATATTTGATCAATTATGCATTCATAATGCTATAATAATATTTATCTTAAAGAAAAAATGCTTAAATAATTCAACAGTCCCAGGTTTCATCTCGGGCCCCTGTGGTTGGTGATTTTTAAAATAAATATTTAGATTTTTAAGACATTATTTTTCGTGCAAAGTTTCTGGGATCAAAATAACACTTTGGTCGCAAGTTAGTTCTATAAAAGTTCTAAAATAGTGTAATCGTTATTGAGATGTCGGCTGGGTACATTAGGGTTTAATGTTGATTGATAGCTGATTTTGTATATTGATCGGATGCGAGCGTGAACAGCATCTGTAATTCAAGCCGAACCAACCGTGACACCAAAGAATTTGTTTACGTTCAAAGCCACCATTTAATATTCATGGGTTGTAAGTAAATCATCTCAAGTGCTGAAGGCACTCTTTTTTGAGTAGGCAATTCCGTTTTCTAGGTATCACTTGAGATTTGATTTCTCGAACCGTTTTATTTATAAGCTGGTAAGTATTCTAACTTTTTGTCAGCGGCCTCATCCGGGTGATTTACACGGTGACTCTGCAGTACGTTTACTGGGATAAAAAGCCTATATATGTAATAAGGCGCACATATTTTCTACCAACCAATCAATTTTCGGGTAGTGGTGAGATAAACAGGGAAATAATTAAAAATAAATAACCTTTGATATTTACTTACTAAAATAGACTCTAAAATTACCAATATAGTGTATGCTCCCAAAGCGCTGCGGGGATGTTTTGCGCGAATAACTTGTAGACTTTTTAGGTCAAAGACGAAAGATGTGTATACTCTTTATTATTTTCAACAACATAGAAATAATTTTAAATATTTAATAATAAAAATTGTTAAATATATCTTAACTAAAGAGGTTATATACGCTTTTAGGATTAAACATGATTGAGTTGAAGTTCCATAGATTTGTAGTAATTTATGTTAGGTAATTGCTATTAGTTTGTTTAAATCCAACGTTTCAGTTTTAGAGCAATTCGTCAAGACTCAATTTTAATCATAGAAATATTTTTTTTATTGCTTTAATATACTGATTTTGGGACATGGGCGTGGCGAAAATAACTATACTTAGCCTAAACTGAGTATAACAATACTCAATGCGTGTCGAAAAGTTTCATCAAATATACGTAGCCGTTAATAATGCGACTTCTACTTAGATCTTTTTTTAATGATACAGCACCGGGGAGCATCGCCTGACTTGATATTGATTAATAAATACTACCTTTTAATGACAATGTTGTTATGTTATAAAAAAATGCAAATTCTGATTGAATCTTATGAAAGAATTATTAAAAGTTTTCTTTTGAATGATTGACTAGATATTTATTTTGCCGACGTCGATAGTAAATTGAATTAGTTCCCTTGAACTTGTTATTACTCTCTCGTCTCAACAGGCTGACGGTAATGTAATAAATACATGTTAAGCAGATAGACTGTACCTATTCACTTTTAGCAGAAAACTTAGGCGTCATTATTGGAAGACAACAAATGAAACATTTGTGATTAAATAAATATAGGTACTTAGCTGTATATGTGAATAATTTTACTGTTTTGTATGTCTCTATTGTGATTTTACAGCTTTTATTTTACATGTTAGTAAAGACTTTTTAGTAATATTATTATTGTTTTTTTTTTGTGATATAGTTATTGAAATGAGCGATGGATGAAATAGCGTTCAACAACATAAACACTTAGGTATTCAAGGCAATATTGGCACTTCAAATAAGAAAGAAACTTATCCGGAATATATTTAAAGTAATGCTTATGTAGAGTTGGAGAAGTATGAAAAAGACGGACGGTACTGCAAATTATTGAATAAGTGATGAAAATTGTTGTAACGTATGTACATACCTAGATACCCAATTGAATCCAAACATTTAAGTTCACTTTACTATGACAATATTGGTTAAATGTATCTGTGCGAATGTATCTTTAATAGTAATAGGTTGCGTACGAGTGAAAGAGACTGTAACGCCGGTACGAAATTCTCTCAGTTTGGCGATCGTACTTTAGTAGGTATATCATAGCCTCGGTAATATTATTGTAATAATGTCACAACAAAATTCTTTTGATGTCAGTAGCTTTTAAAAAAGTTTCCCTATGCACACTTCTATTTAGAGAAAGTATTTTAAAAAATCCCGTAATCAAACTAGATGTCGCTAACGGGGACAAAGGAACGGAAATAACAATCCTATTAATATTATAAAGGCGAAAGTTTGTAAGTATGGATGTATGGATGTTTGTTACTCTTTCACGAAAAAACTACTGGACGGATTTGGATAAAACTTTACAGCAATATAGGTTATACATCAGAATAACACATAGGGTACTTTTTACTGGGAAAACTTCTCACTCCCACGGGATACCGACTTCCACGCGGACGAAGTCGCGGGCGTCCACTAGTCTTTGATAAATTCGTTTTCTTTAATAATTTACTTTTGTTAGAGTCGCCATCTTAGTGAGGTGCTTTTTAAGCGTGTGGCACATCTGTTTAATAATCTTAGTCGTCCACTCTGTGTCGACGTAATCTGTGACATTTGTAATATAAACAATAATGCATTTGTAAGTGGCCATTAATCCCCATCCAAGCTTTCCGCCGACCTGGACCTCCTACTGGAGGCCCAGCAGGCAGATCCAGCTCATGCCCCTTTCGACCCTTCAGGTCAACCCCCGTCTCCGTCCATTTCGACAGCTACCCCTTCTGGGTGACGGCCGCACATTTAAAAGGCATCACGTAGCACCCTTCTGGTGGTACATGATAGCCTCTCCCCGCCTTCCATACCCGAAACTTCAGGTGAACCCTCATCCGATCTGGCTGATCGTTCTCTTTCAGGGAGTCAGTTGTATTCTAAAATCTGATGAGGCGAGCCCTCCGGGGTTAACGGCTAACATCTCGATGTCACAATTCATGTAGGTGAATAGTGACGCTTCGATCGAAGCATGGAGTAGGGTCGAAGGTTCGTTGCCTCTTCAGGGCACGCAACCAACTGTCCAAGGCGGTGTTCAGTCATTAGGCGTCACCAATGAAGGATTCACCGCCTCCTTCCCCCGTTGGGAAGGTGATTCCGAGCCCGTAAGGTTGAGAGTCGAAAAAAATAAGTGGCCATTCAACCACAGCATTCAACATCAAACAATCTGAAAGTAAACTCATACCTCTGAACACGTTTATTCATTTTACCGACTCTAATAAATAGAATCAGATAGTCAACTTACCAATAAGTTAAATATCAGCCTATGTACCAATAAATAAATACCCAAAATACAGTAAAAAATACTTCTCCATTATATAAATTTAATGGGTCTTCTTCGAAAGTATACTCTTACTAACTTAATCAGAATCAGTCCACTACTAATGAAAATATTGTGGAACATTTATACAAAACAAAAACATTCCACTCCTTTATTAAAGTCGGTTAAATTAAAATACCAATGCCGTGGACGAAAGCTAGTAATGAGGAAATATTTAAAAAAAATAAAGCACTAAAAAGCACCTCCACTAAATGGCGACTCTAGCAAAAGTTGATTTTGGCAGGAAACGAATGGAGCAAAGGCAGTCTTTTCCGTTCCATTTAAATAAACTGAAATTTGAAAAGTTTGAAACTTAGATATCAATACAAATACGAAAAAGTACAAATAGAATATGAGTTGTTTTTTGAGTTTTGAAAACTAATTTACTTTTAAACATGAAGGAAAAACAGAAGGGTTGTCATGGAGAAATCAAGACGTCCCGTGGCGACATCTAGTCGTCATAGGGAACAATTTTTTCTTAAATACACCTCATTGTGTTGGTGCACCTCACGACAACAACAAAAAAAAACGAATATTTTGTATGTTTGATTTACTCATTTAAAAAGATATATTGAAAGTAATTAATATGCTGTTGAAAAAGAAATAAGTGCATTTTTTGTCTACTTTAGAAACATAACTTAGAGCTAGTTACACAAATATCCATTAAAAATGTCATGTTTAAAGCGACATTACCCATACAAATTTGACATTTATTAGAGCTTAAAGCCGCCATTAGACGTTTGTGTAACTGATCATTAGTCTTTTATATGTATATAGATAATACTTTCTTACTACTACTTATAAAACATTTTTTATTATTTGTAATATTGTAAAATAATATCTAATTTCCGAAAAGTATGCCCTCTGTGCTTGTCCGAGATGACCAAGGAAGTTGCAAACTAATCTGATACCTTAGATTATTAGCATTGTTTGTAATGCTGTAGAGATGGCGATGTTTAGTATTGACACAGATAAACATAAACTACTTATAGGTATCTTTATCTTTTACACTTTTTGTAATCGTACATTTTTCTCAGAATAATGTTAAAAGATTGATAAATAAAAACCACCATAAGTGTAAAATTTTTTACTCCATAATTTTCAATACCATTCTTAACACTATTTCTCTAAGTATTAATTACTGATATACAATAATAAATCATTTCCTTTGAATGTCTATCAAGTTGAGGTGAGACTAGCCAAATTATTATTTAGAGAAAGAAACACTTGTAAAATAGTGATTTATTTAAAAGCAATACATAGCATTATTTTCACTATTGTATACCTTAAATTGCAAAACACATATTACTTATTATGTTTCTCTTTTCTCAAACGGGTAAGTCTGTTTATATCTAGCTACACCAAGGTTAACAAATCCTGGAAAAGAGAAATTAAAATTAGAAGATAATATAAAATATAAGTTTTTACAGAAATAGTTGCATAAACAATTAAATATTTCATCTGAGAAAGAAAGAGAAATTATTTATTGTTGGCCACACATAACAGATAACATTGATGGGGACAAGTAAAGAAACTTTCAGTGATATGGTTTTTAGGTATTATGTAACTATCTTCCATATAGCTCATTAATGCTTAAAGGCACTCAAAGTTAAAAATTAAATTCTTAAATATTTCTTAAAACAATGAATAAATATGAAATAAGCAATGTTTGATTTATGTAAGTAAAAGGTTTTTAGTTATTTAAAATTAATTTATTTGTCAACTTCATCGACGGCTGATAAAAAACCAATACCTGATTTGGTGGTAATTCTTTATTTTCAGAATTCCCCACTTTCGGTATTACTTTAAAAGCACTCTTTAATTGGCATAATATATTTTAAGACAGATATGCTTAGAATAAAAATTTATCTTAACTTCTAACTTACCTAAAGATAATGTCGATAAGGTTAATTTCCCAGCAAAAGTTTTGTTTTTCCAAGCATAATTAGCAAGATATCCTCCAATTCCTACTAAACCTGCCGCTCCTACTAACCTACATCCCAAACAATCTTTAGGGCCAGTGGCGACTTCTGTTTTGGAGCTCATAATGAGACTTATTCTCTATTTTACTTTTCCATTAAATATAATTGATCACTTAGAGATTGTAAAGTTTGAGTCAAAGATATTATAAATACATATTAATGGTGTTTTTTACTTCTATTTTGAAACTAACAAAACATGCTCCTTCCCCTTTTATTATTTTAATTACTTATACTCTTATAAAGAAAGAAAGATTTATGTGGTTTTAACTGAAGCACGCAGAACTGAAGTTGACAACACAGATTGTTGACAACGTTGACATTGACATTTTTTTTTATTTATTAGTGTTTACGGCTCTGGATACTAGTCCTTTTAAGCCTTACATAGTTTTTTGACAGAATACAAGACAAAATTCGTTCATTGTTCTTTCTTCTCACTCAGATATTTTTGACAGTGTTGACAACAAACTTGAATAACGGTTTAAAGTATTTGAAGTCTTTTAATAATTCTTCCAGCGTTGATGGTATGTTCTTGGTGATTGCTTCAAGTTCGCTAACAAGTACCAAGCGATGTAGTCCAAACCGTTTACATTTGAATATGATATGTTGCAGATCTTCATTTTCTTTACAATCAGGGCATTTTGGATCATCTGCCATCTTCAATCTATGCAGGTGAGTGCGAAACTGACCATGACCAAATCTCAATCTGTTTATAGTAGTTATGAACTTTCTACTCTGTATTGATTTATTGTACCACCAAGGTTGGGCGGGCGGGCTTCCTTGGACCTTTTTGTACCATTGACCTTTCTCTTTGCTAATTAACTCCCATTGGTTTTTCCAGAGCATCGCCAAGTTTTGATTAACAACAGCCTTGAAGTCAGTAAAAGGAATCTTCATTGATTGTGAATGGTCTTCATTGGGTGTGGATCGTGCTATTTCATCAGCCTTTACGTTTCCTGTAATGCCACTATGCGAAGGTACCCACATAAAATGTATAGTTTTATCTGAATCATTTAGGTTACTTAAGACTTGTTTGATATAAAACACTAAATAATTAACATCATATTTACAACTATTTCTAAATGAATTTAATACACTTTGTGAATCAGAAAGAATTAAAAACTTGTTAACATTTTGTAGTGCTGAGATATATATTAAAGCCTGATAGATAGCATAACATTCAGCTGTATATATACTACAATTACTTGGGATTAATATACATTTGCTTAAATTTAGCTGGACATCATAATAAGCAGATGTCACTCTATTATCAGTCTTAGAACCATCTGTGTATACTCTATAATAAGATTGGTTTTCTAGAAATTGCATTAAATCTTTGTTATTTTGTATTGGTTCAGAATGTAATATGAAATTACAATTTATCAATGCATTATATGAAATATTGTACAGAGGCCAAGTATTATCTATACAGATTTAAATAAAATTTATGTACATATAGCACAATTGCTACCATTTCTGGAGTGTATCCAGTATTAAGTGAAGCATTATTGATATAAGAACCTCTTTGCATATTCTGTAAAGTTTCTAAAGGTAATAGTCTGCCTGTAATAAATGAGCTTTTATAAGAAATAGTTCTTAAGCAAAATCTTTCTGCCAACTGTAAATGCCTTAATATGAGTGGTGGGATACAGCTTTCTGATTGCATCACATGAATAGGAGTAGAACACATTGCCCCAGTTATTATTCTCAAAGCTCTATTTTGAAGAACATCCAATTTACGTAATAAATTTGAATTAGCATTCATGTATGCTAGACAACTGTAGTCAAAGTGACTTCTTACAACGCTTTTATAAAGCATTGACAAAATTTTCGGATCTGAACCCCAATGTATACCAGCCAGAGATCTAAGTACATTTAAACCTTGTGTGGCACTTTTGATTATCTTATCAAAATGTTTTTGAAAGCTCAACTTAGGATCTAAACATACACCCAAGAATTTGTGATCTTGAACCCATGGTAAACAACTATTATTGTACATAACATCATTATTAAGTGTACTATAAGGTATCTTACTAAAAATCATAGCAGAACTTTTATTGGCACTTATTTCTAGTTTTAATATATTTTTGTAATAGTGGTGTATTTCTGTTAATGCTCTATTTATTTTATTGATAGCAATGTTTACATTATTATTTACAGTATATATAACTAGGTCATCAGCAAATTGTAGAAAATATACATTTTTTTCCTTTAAATGTTGTTTAATTTGACATGTATAAATATTATACAATATAGGAGAGATTGTTGCTCCTTGCATAGTACCTTTGTAGACATTTCTTGGACCATGTAATATATTGTTATACTTTATATACATATGTCTGTTAAATAAAAAATTAAATACCCATTTACAGAGTTTACCTGGAACACCAATATCATGAAGGACTTGGGACATGATGGAAGGATTCACATTATCGAATGCACCTTTAACATCAAGAAATGCACAAACTGTCACGGAATGTTGAAGAAATGATGTTTTTATATCAGATATCAATGAAATAAAGCTCTCTGCAGCACTGCGACCTTTACGAAACCCAAATTGTTCTATAGGTAATATTCTATTACTTTCAATGTAATAATCTAATCTTATTTTGATAATGTTTTCGAATATTTTACCTATACAAGAGGACAAAGAAATTGGTCTATATGAATTGCTTTCTTGTACTGGCTTATCTGGTTTAAGGATTGGAATAACACACTGTGTTTTCCATGTTTGTGGTATTGTCTGGAATTCCCAGAGTAAATTAAATATAACAAGTAACTTTTTTTGTGCATTTATATGCAATTTTTTTATAAGATTATATGTGATATCATCAAGACCAGGGGTAGTGTCTTTTCTAGACCGTAGGGATGTTTGGAATTCTTCCCATGTGAATGGTTTTATAAGAAATTGAGCATTTAAACTTCCATTGCTATCAAAAAAAAATTTTAACTTATCCAAATCTATATCTTTTTCAGGTGGAATTGAAGGTGCATATTTATCAAAAAAGGATGGGACCCAGTCATCATTTTTAGGTCGTTTGGAAGATGAAATTCTTTTGAATCGCCTCATGTAATTCCATATTATGCTTACTGGAGTGTATCTATTAAAAGACTCACATAATTTTAACCAACTGTTTTTTTTCTTTTCACAGAGTAGTCGCTTTTTGTGAGCGTCACTTTTTTTGTATTCTATGTAATTATCAATAGTTGGATGAGATCTATAGAAATTTAATGCTAGTTTGCTTTTTTTGACAACTTCTTTACACTCATCGTCCCACCATGGAACTGGTTTCTTTTTAACGAATGTAGTATTCTTTTTAATTTAGGTATATATTTTTCTTTGAGAATATTCAATATCTTACAAAAATTATTATATGTATTCAGAGAATTATTATTTTCAATTGTAATATCATCAAATGCTGATTCACTGTCAATATAAAAGTTTTTCCAATCGGCTCTGTTGTATAGAAACCGTTCAAAAGGTTCGCCTATTTCATATTTTTCAATTGAGACGTGAATATCTATGATGGTGGGATAATGATAACTGCCCATTGAGTCAGAATATACACTCCAGTTACACAATGGAGCCACAGAAGGACTAACACATGATATGTCTATTGCTGAAGGACTTTGACCAACACGTCCTACAGTGGTTGTAGAACCCGAATTTAGGATGCATAAATCGCATTCGTCAAACATGTTGTAAATATTGTTACCTCTGTTGTTAGTTGAGTGACAGCCAAATGCTATGTGGTGTGCATTAAAATCTCCTGAGGCTAATATAGGTTTAGGTAAATCATTAATAATCTCTTTTAAATTGTTGCTCTGAAAGTTTAAACGCCCTTGCTTCGGAGGAGGACAATAAATGCACAATATAGAGAGATTACCTATATCAGTAAGTATGGTAATACCTACTGCTTGTGATTCTTCATAGAAAGGAATTGAATGGACAGAATATTTGAAATAATTTTTGATCAAGATCGAGACTCCACCTCGACCACCAATACCAATTTGATTAATTATGTCATAGCTAGAAATATGTATATTATTATTTTCTTTTAACCAGGTTTCATTTAATAAGCAAATATCTATGTGATTCTCTTGAAGATAATTGATGAGGAGTGGTTTTTTGTTAAGAACACCTTCTATGTTAAACTGGGATATTCTTAGAAAACTTTTATCCATTATTTAGGTTTTAGAGTTTTAATAAGTATCTCCTGTATTATGTTACCAGTTATGGCTCTATCTTCATTTCCTATTGCAACCAGTGCGCCAACTATGGCCTTGCGGATAAAGTCGTTATTGATTATTTCATCAATTAACTTTTCATTTGAAAGTTTCACCACTTCTGTGGTTTGTGTAGGATTTAGGATGGTAGAAGGGGTAGTGGTAGAGCCTTGTATTTTATTTGGTGTTAAGGGCTTTTTAGGGGTAGACAATTGCGGGAAGTTAGTTTGATAATTATTCATAGTCATATTACCATTCTATCGTTCTCTTTTGGATAATAAAGCGTTTGCATAACTTACTTTGTTTTTCTTTTCGTCAATTTTTTGTTTTTTAATAGGACAGTCACGTGAAATAGAGAGATGTGAACCTTGACAGTTTGAACATTTAATGACTTTATCATTTGGACATTGTGTGTAATGGTGCTCCTCGGAACAAACGGAGCATTTTTGTACCGATTTGCATACTTTCGCCCCATGGTTGAATTTAAAGCACTTATAACACTGTAATAAAGGTGCATTATATTCATGGACTCTGAATCGGAACAAATCAAGATAAACGTATTCTGGTAGTACATTTGATAAGAAAGTTATGCTGACTGTTTTAAAAGTTTTGACAGTACCATTCTCTTTTTTTGTAAACCTACGTACAGCTACAATTTCAAAAGGGGAGCTTAATTTCTTAAATAACTCTTCGTTACTAATACTGGTAGGTACGAAGCGTAGTACACCAATCTTTTCTACTGCTGAGGCCGGGATATATGCTTTGAATTTGTGCTTTGATAAGAAATCTTCATTTTTTAGAAAGTTATTGGCGTGGTTCGCTTGAGAAAAGGTCACACAG